CGTACTTATCACATACAGATCTCTATTTGATTTGTGATGGATTGTCCCCAAGTACTATTTCTATTTCACCACTCAATTCTATTTATTTATTGATTTATAAACAATGGCCAAACATAGGTTAATTTTGTATTTTAGTAGTGAGATTTTTGTTTATGTGGTGGGCAAAAGGAGGGAAAAAGGGCCCATACGAATGATCAACACATCACCCTTAAAGTAAAAGGAGTTCAACACAACCGCAAATGTAATTTTCGTTGCCTTTTCCCTTTGTCATTTCACACCTCTTTCTTCTCCTAGCTCTCTTGGCTCTTTCTGATTGTCTTCGGTGTATTTGGGAAGTTTTAATGGTCATGACTTGACATGGATGATTGTTTAACTACATATTGTCATGGATAAAACGCCCAAAGTAAATAACGCATAATTTAAAGTGTTTCACACCCAAAGTGAAAGATACATCCATTTGCAGTTGCAGAATTTTACAATGATGACAAATAAAAATATATATACTATAATTTTGGTATAATGTCAAGTCTTTCTTGAAACCTCTACATGATAACAATATTGAAACCAAGAAAAATTATGACTTTCGGGAGTCATTAATTTATCGATAGAAAGAAGATGCTATTTCCAGTGAACGCCACATAAATGTAATAAATGCCGAACATCTTTCTAACTATCTCAATGAAAATGATGTGTTGATGTAATGACTTACCGACAAAGAAATTATTCGAAGGGTACCGAATATGCTTTTCTAAGATAGTGTTTTACCAATTATTCCTCCGATATAAGTCTTTCAATCATTTTTACAAAGATAAAAGAAAATTCAAAATGTGAGGTTGAGTTTGGTTTGAAGGCAAAGAAAATGATTGAAATTATTACCTCTGTCTCTGTGTATTTGTGCTAGAACAATGCTTGGTGTACAATCATTTTTACAATCCTTATAAAATACCGAAAAATCGGATTATTTTCTTAATTTGCACAATGAAATACTCAAAGAGGTAATAACTACGGAATATTCTCAAGTGTCGTACAGAAACTTTCCACCGAACTTGGCCAATCAATCTGGCTGACACGGACTTGAGGAAATTGTGCTAATTTTCCATTCCACGTGCTTTGGCGTTTGGCATTTTGCTCCAAGTCCAAATCAATCACTAGATTTCATAGAAATTTCTCTACCAATTTCTTTTTTTTTTTTTTTGTTTTTTGACCTTTTAAAATTGATACATTTCTTCTTTGGCAAATTTCACAACAAAAATAAAATAAAAATGAGGATCCATATGCTTTTAAGTTGATAGGCCAGGGACTAAATTTGCAATCTACCAATAAATGAACAAAAAGGTGTTAAGAGTGCCTTTGACAACTATTTATAAATGAATATGTTTATAAAGATTTGCTAAAAAAAATAAAAAATTATCCGTATATTTCCTAGGATCTACGAGTATCCTTTTTACCTGTTTATAATATAACTATTTATAAATACTTGTCAAATATATGTTTAATGGTAAGTTCATGTCGTATAAAAATAACTGTATAATATTGTAGAGTTTTTATACTTTTTAACAAGCTTAACCATTAAAATGAAAATCTAAATTTTAATACGATGTTAGAGCTCGTTTCAAACGAGCCACTATTTCACAGAAAATGTAAAAAATAAAACACGTTGAATAAACAAGAAATATGTATACAAAAAAATAATATTATTCATAATTAACGATTATCGTAATCATTCTATTTGAAATATATTTTAATCACTTAATGTCAATTCTTAATGAAAAGGTGTTCGAATTTAAATTTCTAGTCAGTACACGTCATTAGCTACGTGAACTTATTTTGGTCCATTTAGTTTTCGTAATTTCTTGGGTTCACACGAATATTCCAACCGCATGTCAAATCCCTGGGACCCAATTTCCATATATGCCCGACAAAGAGTCAAGGACTAGTTAAACCTGCAATTTTCTTTTAAAAAACGTGCTTGTAAAATAATAATAAATTTTACTTTAAGATTTATGGTGTGTTTATCTCCTATTATTGGAAGAAAAATAGACTAATTAATAGTATTTTTTAAAAAATGTGTTGTTGAAAAGTAAAACAATTTTATTGGTTTGTGTGTAAAATATTTTATTGGGTGAATATGTGGTGAAAAATCTTACTGTAGCAAACAATTTTTTGAAATAATGATAGACAATCAGGGGCTAAATTATAGCTAAAAGACGACGATAGAGACCAGGGGCGTATATGCTTGTGTAGACATTAAAAAAATAATAATAATAAAATAATGTTTTTTTAGAATAATGGTAGACAAACATGGACTTAAATATATGATTAGTTTAATGATCAAGAATTTCTTTAGTTAATTAAGACGTGTTTGGTCTCCTTTTTAAAACTTATTTTTATAAGTTATTTCTAACAATACATTTTGTTGACATCGAAAAATGATGGACACGTGGCCAACATGATAAGTCTTCACGTCAACTTCTCCATGCGCACAATAGCACACCGTTAGTCACTCGTGACCTTTTCCGGTGGGGTTGGAAGCCGCCGCGAGTACTTTGACAGTCGAGTTAGTATTTCAACTAATTGAGAAGTTATGTCCGACGACGAGATGGTCACCGGAATGTTTGAGTATATGTTGAAAGTTATGATGTAAAGCTAACAAAATTCGTCCCCCTTACTCTTACCAGTATGGGGGTATTTATACTAGGAAATGGAAGATGTAGACCGTTTGATGAAGGAGCACGTATCTTTAGATCCCGTACCAGTCATCATCTCATAGGCGTCAATCCGTCAATCAATAGGTTGATGGACATTAAATGGTTTTTGACATATCAGCTGAATTGACCGTCTCTGACAAAAACCAAAGAATTGCCTCGGAGGCTCTGGTTGAGGCCAACAAGCAAAAAGCCGAACTGAAGATGCTTTCTAAGGCTCAAGCAAAAGGGATCGAGTCTCTAAAGGCCGAAGTGAAGACAGTTGGAGACGCTGCAGTCGAAAACTATAAGGCCAACTTCGACAAAACCAAAGAGTATGACGACTTCTCCAACTATTGGGCTTTATGGAGTGCCCAAGAGATCATGTCGCGTTTGCGAGAGAGGCATCCGGAGCTTGACATTAACTTTTTGGAGGAGGAGTTCGGAGGCTATACTGGGGGCCGACCAGTGATGGAAGAGGAGGCGGCGAAGGAGGCTCCTGAGGAAGAGGCAGGGGCAATTGTAAACGTAGATTAGGCTTTGTATTTCTCTTCTTCTTTGTACTCGGCTTCGGCCCTATTTTGTAGTTAATGAAATTTATTTTCTTCCAAGTGTTGTCGCTTCATTTCAATGGGCAGAGCAAACAAATAAAACTTTGTTTTAAATGTGATCGCATCGGCAAACCATAACTACTTAAGAAAATGGAAGAAGCCAATGAATAACGAGCATCATCGCATTGACTAAACTTAACCGCTTAAGAAAATGAAAGAAGCCAATGAGTAACAAGCATCATCGCATCGGCTGAACTTAACCACTTAAGAAAATAGAAGATTCAATGAATAACAAGCATCATTGCATCAGCTAAACTTAACCATTTAAGAAAATGGAAGATAATGAGGACGTGTAACGTGCGGATATGTCCCGTCCTAGCAGAGATGGTACCCACACCATTTCTGACCAGGTAGGTTTCCTCGGTAGAGGTGATCTTGTACAGACGAAACGAAAACGAAAACCAGTTCATTCATTTGATTTGTAATATTTACACAGATAAAAGCTCCCTATTGATTGTACTTCCTAAGGTGTTCGATGTTCCATGGTCCATGAGGCATCATATTTCCTCCTAAATCTTTGATTCTGTAGGTGCCAGGTCTTATTTCTTCGACAATTCGGTACAGACCTTCCCAATTTGACCCCAAGGTTCCTGTGCTCGGATCCTTAGATGATGGGAAAACTTTCCGGAGTGTCGGTCGTCGATACGGAAGGTTCTCCTTTTCACTTTGGTATTGTAGTACCGCATCATTTTGCGTTGGTAAGAGGTGAGTCTAACCTGAGAGTCGTCTCTCTTTTCTTCAATTAATTCGAGTTCAAGCCTTCTCAGGTCGTCGTTCGTCACTTCATTGAAATGGATGTGACGAGGAGATGGAACGCCAACCTCCACAGGGCCCATTGCTTCGGCACCAAAAGTCATTGAGAATGGGGTCTCCACAGTTGCAGTTTTACAAGTAGTTCTGATGGCCCAGAGGACCTGGGGAAGTTCATCAACCTAAGCTCCTTTGGAAACGTCTAATTTATTTTTCAGGTGAGCTTGATGGTCTTGTTGACGCTTCAACCTGGCTATTGTCTTGGGGATGATGAGGTAAAAAGAAATGCTTTCTAATCCCGAGATCGTCGTATAAGTCCCTGATCTTCCTGTTGTCGAATTGTTTACCATTGTCTGAGACTAGGGAGTGAGGTATACCAAACCTGCAGATGATATTCTTCTAGAGAAACTTTGAAGTGTTTGCCTCAATGATCTTAGATAGCGGCTTTGCCTAGACCCATTTTGTAAAGTAATCATTAGTAACAATGGCGAAGCGAGCACTTCCCCTTCCATTGGGTAGAGGACCAATGAAGTCTACCCCCCATTTGGCGAAGGGCCAAGGACTGAATACGACAGTAAGTTCTTGGGAGGGCCACCTCTGCACATTGGATAAGCATTGACACTTGTTACATTTGCGCACAAACTCTATTGCGTCCCTTTTCAGGGTCGGTCAATAGTATCCTTGCCTGAGTATCTTGTGGGTTAGGGTTGGTCCTCCAGAGTGATTCCCACAAACGCCATCATGGACTTCTTTCAGAATGTAATTCGCCTCCTCCCCTCTTGTGCATCTGAGGAAGGGGATGAAAACCCTCGCTTATACAAAATATCATTTTGCAAAACGAAATGTGCAGCTCTATTTCGAAGTCGTCGCTCTTCGATTTCATTGTCTGGTAAGGTCTGTTCTTTCAAATAAGCCAGGATCGGATGTATCCATGGGGAATCGCTTTCATTCCACATCAACTCTTTTCCCTCCTTGATAGAGGCTCCAGCAGGTGTTCAATAGGTACTATTTTGAGTAGCTCCGAGTCTTTGCTACTAGCCAGTTTGAACAGGGCATCCGCATGGGCGTTCTCGTCGCGAGGTACCTGCACTAATTCGAACTTCTCAAAGTTGGGAAGGAAATCCATAACCAGCTTCAAGTATGTTGCCAAGTGTTTGTCCCTAGCTGCAAAGTTCCCATTGACCTGATTCACCACCAATTGTGAATCACTATTGATAGTCAACCTCTTCACATGTAACTCATTGGCCAATCGAAGACCAGCTAGGAGGGCCTCGTATTCAGCCACATTGTTGGAAGCCTTGAAGCCTAGTATCGCCGCACAGTTAAGCTTATGTCCCTCTGGGCTTTCCAAAACAACATCGCCCTGAAGACCGTATCTCTGGAGGAACCATCCACAAAGAGGTTCCAAGTGGGAGGCTCTACTGGTTCCATGTTTACTTATACCTCAGGAGCTTTGGCAAATTCTGCGACAAAGTCAGCTAGGGCTTGACCCTTGATTGCCGTTCGGGGTATGTATGTTATGTCGAACTCACTGAATTTCACTGCCCACTTTAGTAACCTTCCCGAGGCGTCTGGCTTTTGAAGGACCTGCTTTAGTGGAAAGTTTGTTAAAACACAAATACTATGGGCCTGAAAATATGGCCTCAGCTTTCAAGATGCAGTGACTAGGGAGAGAGCCAACTTCTCCATATCCGGATAGCGCGTTTCTGCGGGTACCAAGGCCTTGCTTACACAGTAGATTGGTAATTGATGCGTCTCTTCCTCCCTTACAAGTACCGAGCTGACTGAGTCTTCAGCCACTGCTAAATATAACAACAGAGGCTCCCCTTCCTTTGGTTTGCTCAATAGGGGTGCCTATCCTAAGTGGTTTTTCAACTCTCGAAACTCCTCTTCGCACTCTGGAGTCCATTTGAATCTTTTCCCCCCTTTGAGGATTTTGAAGAAGGGTAAATATTTTTCAGTGGCCCTTGAGATTAAGCAGTTGAGTGCGGTTATCTTGCCAGTAAGTCGTTGCACTTTCTTGGGCTTCTGCGGAGATCTCATTTCAACTAACACCCTGATCTTTTTCAGGTTGGCTTCTATTCCACTTCGATTCACTATATAGCCAGGAACTTACCTGAGGCTACACCAAAAGCGCACTTAAGAGGGTTCAGCCTCATGCGATATTTCTTTAGTATCTGAAAGGCTTCGTCCAGATGTTTTATATGCACCCTAGCTTGGAGACTCTTCACTAGCATGTCGTCAACATAGACTTCCATCGTTCTGCCGAGTTGATTGGTAAACATTTTATTTACTAATCTTTGGTAGGTTGCCCCGACATTTTTCAGGCCGAAAGATATCACCTTGTAGCAGTAGAGCCCTCTGTCAGTAATGAAAGACGTGCTGTCTTCATCGCCTGGGAACATGGGGATCTGATTATAGCCTGAGTAGGTATCCATGAAGCTCAGTAATTCATGTCCCGAAGTGGAAAGCTCTCATTTGGGCAGGCCTGAATGAGGTTAGAGAAATCGATACATACTCTCCATTTGCTATTATGTTTATTCACATATAAGGATCCATCCATAGATTTCAACTCACTCAGGGTAGAGATAGATTCTTGAATGTATGCTAAGAGTTTTTCTTTCTTCGACTCAAGTTCCGTGACTCTCGTACATAAGGTTTATTTTTAGTTAGAATCTTAATGCCCTCCTCATATATTTTATCATAAGCCTCATGAATATCTCCCTTACTATCAAAATCTTCTTCGGAATTCTCACCGCTGCTTATGCTTTCAGCCTTCTCACTCTTATCAGATTCATTCCTAATTCTAACAGTAAAGACAATATATTTTTCACTTTTCTCACTAGTGGACTTCCCATTTTGATTGTCTGAGCTAGACTCATTATCAGTGAGAGTAGCATTCATAGCCTTATCCGGATTTCTGTTAGGGCACTCACTTCTAACGTGGCCAAAACCTCTGCAATTATGACATTTCACAGTTTTAGAACTTTTCCTAGACCCACTAGGACCACTTCTATGCTTCTCTTGAGATTTTTGTTTATTCTTAAACATTTTTTGAAATTTTTTAGCAAAATATACTAACTCCTCTTCATTAGGAGAATCTGAATCCGAGAACTCTCTATGACTATTCCTCATAGTATTTAAGGCCAATGACTTATCGTTTGTGGATTTAGCTAGGGTCAGCTCATAAGTTTGAAGAGATTCAACAAGCTCTTCCACCTTAATAGAGTTTATATCTTTACTTTGCTCAATAGCATCGATTTTAAGCCTAAATCGCTCAGGTAAGTATCTAAGGATTTTTCTAACAATTTTTTACTCATGTATTTTCTCACCTAGGTTATGTCATTTAAACTCGTATAGAATTCATCAAATGTCTCATTCTCTTTCATCTTAATCTCTTCAAATCCAGTGGTCAACATCAGCAACTTAGAGTTTTTAACAGCTTGAGTTCCTTCATGTGTGGTCTGTAGAATATCTCAAACCTCTTTGGCTATCTCACACATTGACCTCGCCTAAAATCTTCCAGGGAAACTGCCATAAATAGGGCATGTAAGACTTTGTTAATCCAGTTACACTCATCTAAGTTAACTCTAGTCCAATTAGCAATAAGAGTGTGGATTATTTCATTATTAACCGTAGAAATAGGTGCCCAACCATTCAGAATATTTAGCCAGATATGCTCATCCTTAGATTTTTAAAAGGCTCTCATTCTAATCTTTCAGTAGACATTATTATTACCATCAAAATATGGTGGGACGGATAATGAATTACTCATCTAGAAATCTAAGGTCAGGATTCGAATTTAGGCTCTGATACCAATTGAAAGTTTCTTAAGTTAAACCTTACGTGCATAATTATACAATTAATAAGCAACAAGTCACTTTTTAATTGTTTCTAAATGATTATTCAATCAATTCCATTATCATATGTTGGATTTCCGCAGTTTATATGAAAAAACAATAAATAACACCAATATTGTTGACGGAGAAAGCCAATTGGGTAAAAACTCTAGGATCAAGCCAGTTACCTCCACTATAAATAATACGGATTTACAGTAAGATGTTATCTAGCCAACTCCACTATACTTCTCGATTTAATTCCTGTAACCTCCAAGATCAGCTGAACCCACCAACTCTCGATCTTTTGCAATTGTCTCTTCTAAGTGGAATCTCAAGAACGCCCCGTTCTTATGCTTTTTCTACGCTTGTAGTCCAACCTCTCTCAACCTCCAGCAGTCTCCGAAATTCAACTGAGAAAGTACCTTCCTATGGGTGTTTAGGAAGTACGTGTTTTGGATTCAATAGATTTGATGTTTTCCATAATCTGCGGTTGTATAATCTCAAGAGTAAATGGATTGAATCAATATATGAACATGCTCTTGAATTTTCAAAGAATAATATGAATATGTTAAAGAGAAGATGCATAATCAACGAACACAAAATTTCGTGCAAGCGCTTAAGGTATTTATAGTTGAAGGCAATTAGGTAGGATGGGTCGTGTAAAAAGCCTTCAAATGCAAATTAGGTTTTTCCGGATAAAACTGTCGCTCGAGCAAGAGCTCAGCGACAAGCGAGCGACGGTGTCTCGCTCGAGCGAAGTCCATACGACAGGCGGGCGACGCAACTTCTGTTTTTACCGCTCGAGCAACAGCTGGGCGATAGGCTAGCGAAATTGAGGCGACGTTTACTCCTTTGTTCCATACTCGAACCCTAGAAATTCTAACTTACTGCTTGACCCTTTGACTTTTAAAAACTCTTTTACAACAATATTAATTTCAATCATTTTGTTCACAGAATTGTCAATTACATTAAAACCTAACATTACCAATTCAATTTCCAATTTCTTGAGGAAGGATTTCAATGGTGTTGTGGTTTAGCTATTGTTTCTTGAGATTATCAAGTCCCTGTCTGAGAAAAAAATATAAACGATTTAATTTATAAATAAATAAGAAAAGTGAATAATACTTGAAAATTCGTTGAAATGTATTATTAAAAATAAAATTTGACCATTAGGTCAAAAGTCACGTGCAAATGCAGTGTACAGTTTGCACTCAATCAATTTTGCTGTTTTTTTCTTGATAAAGCTTAGAAGGGTACGAGTCAAAAAGCTCTTTTAAGTTGGCGTTGCAGAACGGGGTGAGTAGTGTTATTGAGGAGGGACAAATTTTTGGGAAAATTGCAGTCAAGGTCTATGATTTATATGCATTGGGCAAATGAATCTCATTTGAAGCTATATTATCCCCAATCTTGGATAGGTGTATTGGACTTCGTGTGAAAGGATTATGTCCAATATGACCCTAAGCGCTTGTTTGGAAAAGCTTAAAAAATTATTAAAAGGTTAATAATTATTTTTAACAATATATTATTTTTATTAACATTTACAGTCACGTAATTTCAATTTTTATCAAAATCTACTAACACTTTATCAAAAGGTAAGTTCTTTTCGTCACAATACCCTTACTTCTAGAGATGACTTTGCAGCGAGCGGGACGGAAGACTAATTCTACAAAGTTGCTCAATTGATGCATTTGTCAAATAAATTGAAGACTTTTTAGCTTGTGCATTTCTTGGACGTTGCTTATTTGTCAAGAAAATATCGATAAGGACTCTCGAGTGTTTTTCAAGTATAGATTGTAGGTGTCGTTTTTTCATTATTATGTACCGTAAATCCAAAAAATCTATGATATTAATTTTGTCTTTCGAAAATGTCACTCTTATCTGTCGACACGCGCTAACAATTTCGACACCTATTTCCAACCCCTTATGCCCATACCAACTCCTCTTAATGTCCATTGCAGAAGCATCGTGGTAGGGTAATTCGAGATAAAAAGGAGAAAAGTTTAGAATCGCTTTTGTTAATAAAGAGGAAACACTTGAAACTTTATCAATTTTAAATGAAAAAGTGGGATTCAAAGAAAAAGTTACCAAGATTTTTTCTAAACACGTGTATTATTATTATTATTATTATTTGGGTAGTCGGCTAAAAGATACATTTTATTTTTGTCACAAAATAAAACAAGAACATCTTGTGACTATCTTTACATCATAAATGCAGAGTATTTCCATAAAACGCTGCTTCATTAATTTAGTGCACGCTACGATTGCTCGAAATTTTAATAATAATAGGGACATTACATGGTTCGTTCGTTAACCAGTGTAACAGAACGAATTTATTTATTTTGAAGTACAGTCGATGAAATTTTATTTATTTTTTCATTTTTAAATATTGGAAGTCAAGAGATAGTTTAAAATATTTTTATTCCCGTTTCAATCAGTGTAGGACGAAACCAAATGCGAAGATCAATCAGCCAAACAAGAAGAAGGATAATTGAGGTCGCGAACTAATCTTCTCAACGGGATATGATTGGGAGAATTGGATCATCGCTTGTGTAGAGATTGAAGAAAGGAAGTTGGTTTAGAGCATCTATAATATTTCAGGATTATTAAAACATTTTCGCCACTAACGACGTAAAAGTTTAATAAATTACTCTTTAATGCAATTCCAGTGAAGATGAATAGCATTACTCTTTTGTCATGCATCGTTTTATGTTTATATAATTTTATTTTAAGAAAATAAAAATATATAGATAGCAATATTGAGTCGTTGATAGATACCATCAGACCAATTTTAGCCCCTGTTTGACACCTATTTTTTTTTTTTCATTTTCATTTTCATTTTTTTTTCTATTTAATCATTTTAACCACACATTCTATCAATAAAATAATACAACACAAAAACCTAAAAATTCTCATTACTTTTTAACCGCACGTTCTTCCATCAATCACTATTCCAGAATTTATTTTTTCTCCAAAATGGATGTCAGACAAGGGCTTAAGTATCAGTACATGAATTAATCTTCTTGATGCAAACTCAAAAAACTGCATATAAATCATCGCTTCCCTTCTTAGGAGGGGTTTGAATGACACACTTGTAAGTGTTATGTCCTAACTCTAATCAACTTTGGAACATAAACACTTTTAATATATATTATCAATGTGTTTTTATNTTCATTTCAACCACACATTCTATTAATAAAATAATACTACACATAAACCCAAAAATTCTCATTACTTTTTAACCACACATTCTTCCATCAATCACTATTCCAAAATTTATTTTTTCTCCAAAATAGGTGTCAAACAGACACACAAGTCACAAAAAAGTGAAAATATTAATTATTAGTTTTTTAATCATTAAAAATGGAGGAATATAAACCTCACCGTTTGGTACAAATTAAAATTTAATTTTTAATTTAAGTCGTTGTCAATAATTAATTTTAATCATATATTTCTTGGATTTCACGATTTTTTAATAAGATATTTCATCAATTTTTATCAAAATTTATTAAAAATCTGATTTTAAGCCTTACCAATCGGGACTTAAAATAAACGACAAATTTGCGTGCCACTTAAACGACAAATTTGCGTTCCAAAGTGGC